AAAAAAAAAAAAAAAAAAAAAAAAAAAAAAAAAAAAAAGCTACCTTGTTACTTGAAGAGATGGAGTGTAGAAATATAGTTTTATTTCTCTGATACATCTCCCTAAAAAATGAATAGCCAAAATCTAGTATTGAAAAAAGGTTAGAGAATTGCAGTTGAGGTTCTCTCGCCTGTAGTCTTCCAACTTAAAAGATTATGAAAATCCAGAATAATTTTAAGAACTATTCCAGGTACACAGAGGCTACAAAAACATGATGGATAAATACAACCCATATTGACTGACCAGATCCTTTTGTTACAGAAGACATTAGTAAAAGTTGAATGGGCATACCAGTTACAGAGTAAGTTAATGTGTTGACTTGGCTGTGTTTTTGATATTTGGGAGAGTATCTTTATTGGAAGAATGAGAAACCTAAGCTTTTAGAGTGATGGGATGTTATATTGGCAGTGTGCTATTAACTGGATCAATCTTCATACTTGATATGAATTCTTGATGCTTTTGAATTTTCACATATCTTTAAAACTATTTTAAAAGTTTTCAATAAAATCCCTTTATGAGTTGAGGGGATGAGAGGAAGAAATCATTAAATATATGATTATGTCAAGATCCCTAGACTTTGATGAAAATTGAAGGTTTTTAAAGGGAAACACTGAGGTAATAAGAAATCAATTTAGAGAAGATTGTGACAGATTTATTTGTGATAAAAATTATTCAGGAAACCTTTAGAACTTTGATTTGGGTTTTAGAAGTTACTTCTTTTTTGTTGGCCCACTGAATTTTCATGGATGGAAGTGAAAGTTTAGCTGCTCCCTGAGGGATCCAGTGGCATAGGTGGGAAGGGAGGCAGGATCGATGCAGGGTGTCAGCAGGCATTTTCTTAAATCCTCTTATGTCCTGCCTTGCATTCTGCTTAGGTGCTGCTGCCCAGTGGCCTGGAGGTGCATTTCTCATACCTGCTTAACACCAAGGCAACATGCAGGAGGGAGGTTTTATCTGTATTATGTAATCAAGAAATCACAGGAAGTTAGATAACATTTACAAAGAAAAAGGTTGGTTTTATATAAAAAAAGTTAGTTTTTCCCCTGGGGAGCAGAAAGGATATGTGATAGGTAGGATATTAGGGGGGGCAGGGGAGGAGGGGAAGGAGAGGGAGCTAGGACTGACATGTGAAGCAAACTTGTTTCTAATTTAAAGAAAAAAAGGAAAAAAAAAACAAAAAGAAAGTCCATATATACCATTTATCTGTTCTCATTCATTTTTCAAAGAATGTAGATTATAAATTTTGAATTTAGAGTTGTTCATACAGGTTGTATATTGAATGTAGCCATCCCATTCTCCATTTTCTCACCCTCCTATTTGTCCTTCTTGCCCTCTATACAATTTCACATAGGCATTATTCAACCCAGGAACAACAAATGAGAGGAAGTATAGTGCTTACTTCAGAAAGGATATCTTATTTTATTTATTTTGAAATTATTTTTAATTGTGTAGATGAGCGTGTATCTTTGTGTGGGTATGTGCAGGTAAATGCAGTTGCCTGTGGAGGCCAGAGGCTTTCGATGCCCCTGGAGCTGGAGTTATAGGCAACGTGAGCTGTCTGACATGAGTGTTGGGAACCGAGCTCGAGTCCTCTGTAAGAGCCGTACAAGCTCTTACCTGCTGACCCATCATCTATCTCTCCAGTCCTCCAGAAAGGATATTTTTAAAGGGCCATTTGAACCATTATATTCCCTTTATCAGTCAAGAGTCTGGTAAGAGTTATGATAAAGGAGTTAGTGGTACTCTTTAAAGTTGGAATTAAGGATGCTAAACAAAAGATATGACACTTCAGAAATAATAAATATGACAGGCAGACAGGTTGAGGTAAAATACTCTTGACATTATTATGTTTCTCATACTAGAAAAACAAATGATTATGACTATTTTCTCCTAATCACTTCTAAACCAAGAATATATCTTAGTTGTACATTAGCTTTATTCAGCTGCAACTGAGAATAAGTAGAATCTCTAACAAATAGTAACACTGCAGTTCTTTGCCCATTTTAAAATGGCTGACTGTTCTTATTAATTACTTTATTTTGTTGAGACAAGGTCTCACTATATAGCTCAGGTTAGCCCAGAGCTTGCTGTATTGTGTTGTATTGTCTCAACTGGCTTTGACTTTATGATTCTCTGCTTCATCCTTCCCAGTGCTAGAATTGCAGGTTTGTGCCCCCATGCCAGGATGGCTGAGTTTTTAATATTTAAAATTAGAAAGCCTAGACCATAGTAACAAAGATGAAAGTACCTCTGTGAAATAATATGATTAATAGTGCCCTAAGATCTTAAAAATTACAGTGCTTGCATTCTTTAAGTGACTGAGAAATCAGTTCAAGTACCTAGAATTCAGTAGAGTCAGTAAATATTTGGAATGCAATAAATGTCAAATAATCAAAAATTGACAATTTCTCATTAAGAGAGAAGTAAATGTCTTGCCTCTATTATTCAAATCTTATTCTCCACTCAGCAAAGTGTTTGGAATACAATATAAAACTCACACTAATCTTGAAATCATATAAAGGGGAAGGAACATAACAATCATTCAACATAAGATCAGTTTCATTTTTCTTTGCCACAATTTAAGAAAGTGTGGCATACAGTATTATTGCAGTGATTACTGGCCATTTTAAGACCTATTACCATTTAAAAAGGTTTCCTTGTATGCACTGAGCTTTGAGTATCTGGTTACAAAGTAGAAAAAGATTGAGAATCTATATTGCCTCATTTATATTTTTCAGTCATAGGAGAAAGCTTTTGTTTGTTGTTGTTGTTGTTGTTGTTGTTGTTGTTGTTACTCATGACAGGGTCCTCTGTGTAGCCTTGGCTGTCCTGAAACTTGCTCTGTAGACCAGGGTGGCCTTGAATTCAGAGAGACACCTGCTTCTGCCTCCCAAGTGCTGGGATTAAAGGTGTGCATCACCATCTTGTCTGCAATGAAATAATTTTACTCTAGAACAGTCATTCTTAACCTGTGGGTCACAGCCCCATTGACATTCCTGTATCTCCAAAAATATTTACACTACAATTCATAACAGTATAACAAAATTATAGTTATGAGATAGTAATGAAAATGATTTTATCGTTGGGGGGTCACAATAACATAAGGAACTGTATTAAAGGGTTGCAGCATTAGGAAGGTTGAGAACCACTGCTCTGTAGGCAGAGGCAAGTGGATCTCTGTGAGTTCAAAGCCAACCTGGTCTACATAATGAATTTAATGCCAACATGGTAAGACCCTTTCTTATAAAACAAACAAACAAAAGCTCATAGGATTTTTTTTAAACATCCACACCCCCTCCAAAAAAAAAACAAACCTTTTCTTTAATAATCCAGATTCACCCTGTTTATTTTCTCTTCAATAATTGCTTGAAATTTATCACAGACAGAAAATGAGGAGCAGGAGTAATTGCAGTCTCTTGAACATCTGTCTGCTAATACACTTGTAATGAATACCCTCTACTATTTGTTGTCTTGTTACAGTTTACAAAGCATTCTGAAGTCTTGGAATCCTGTGCATTTTGCTTCCTGTAAGATATTTATCACAAGGACTTTCTAGGTTAAAAACCTTGAAGAGAGACCAGAGAGACGGCTCCAGTTAAGAGTGCATACTGCTCTTGCAGAGGACCTGATTTGATTCCCAGAACCCAGGTTGGTTGGCTCACAACCCTCTCTTATCTCCAGTTCCAGGCAACCCAATACCCTCTTCTGGCCTCCCACTCTACGCTCATGTGTACATTTCCCCATACAAACATAATTTAAAACTAAAATATAAATATTTTAAAAAGAAAAAAGATCTAGTAGTTTTTCCAACTTGAGATTTCAAGTCAGCTGCTACACAGAACATTTAGCATTCTGTGTACATCTCCAGACTTAATTGTAGCAACTATTAAATCATTTAAACTCAAATTCAATTTGATATCCTAATATCCCAAGTAGGAATGACTATGGAGCACAGTCTGATCCTTTTAGATCTGCCTTTTTAAAAACACCTGGTTGCTTCTGGTTAAGTCTAATTTTGGTCATTTGGGACTAAGCTGAAATTTTGATCTTTGATGACTCTAATCAGTCTCCTTAGGTCTATTTTATGCTGTATTACCTTAGTGCTTGAGCCAAGGTTTAAAGAGATGGGGAGAGAGAGGGGCATGTCCTTCTCTCCTTCCTTTGTAATATCTTCATTTTTCTTTTCAGTTTCAAGAAAAATGTGGTCCCTTTAATTCATGAGGGTTTCCATGAACTGTTAAGAGTTAAACTTGTTTTAGTTTAAAGTAACTGTCTAGTTTTTCAGAAATTTTTACATGAGAATGTAGCTCATTTGCCAAAGAAAATAAGGCATCCTTAACTTGTTATTTCCCCTAGTGGCCTATTTGCTTTCCACTTACTGTAGCTTATTCACTTGGTGCCCACCCACATTCCTCTCTTCTTTGCTATTTGATGAATCGGAATCTAACACACTGTAGGCAAATGCCCTAAGCCCCTCTTAGTTGTTTGTGAACATCTTGCTTGCATGTATGTATGTGCACAATGTGTGTGCAGTGCCCTTAGGAGTCAGAAGAGGGCATCAGATACCCTGGAACTGGAGTTACAGTTATGAGCCACCATATGGGTGCTGGGATTTGAAACCAGGTCCTCTGCAAGAGTACTCTTAACTGCTGAGCCAACTCTTTAGCCCCCTCTTCTTAGTTTTTAATTAGAAAATAAAAAGTATTTCAAAAAAGCAGTGTCTTTAAGTTTATATACTTCCCCTCTCATCTATGAAATTAAATAGTAAAATAACTTTTACACTAAATGTATCACCTACAACATTTAATTTTATAAATATTAACACATTCACAAGTAATATATGTATTATTTATTCCACGTACTTTGGATTTGCAATGTAGGAAAAAGGGTTATTGTTTAAGTTGTAGCTGTCAGATCTCTTCATACAGATAAAATAGGAAGAAAACCCTTTTCTCTTTCTCTTTTTTTTTTTAAAATAAAAGCCTATGCAGTTGAGACTGGGTGGCTCTGACTCTGTCATGTGCTTAATTGCACTTTCCTGACACTTTTGACTTATTGAAACATGTTCCTCTTGTGGATACACCTGTCAGATAAGCCTGATCAGGGTTTGGAGTTCTTCAGTTCTGTAGTGACCTCATGATTCTTTATGTAGTGCTGTGCTGGTTTAGTCTATCTCAGGACTGTGTTTGTATTAAGATGAGTTCATCTGAACATTACATAATCCCATGATAGCCTGCACAGAGAATAGTTTCCTCTTAGATGAACCAGAATACATGTAAGTAATAAAAGTTAAGTTCTTGACTTCCTAAGGACAGAGAGGACTGTGCTTCAAAGCATTGGTCTCCAAATCCAGTGAAGCCGACTCAATCCTCAGTATAGTACTTGAGAGAGAATTTATTGGTTTCGAACTGTCTTTTTCTTTCTTTAGCATTACCTCTCGTTTATGTTATAAGCACTATGCTTATTTTAACATAACATTCTTTTAGTTGAAGAGATGCATAGCTTAGTTAAAACCTGGAGAATAGACCATTGACACTGTTGTTTATAGGAATGGTTCTGACTGCCATTATGAGCCACAAGGTCACTCTGAGAGTTAGTCTTTATTAGCCAGTCAAGGGTGTTAAGGGCATAGGAGAACTTGTACTCATGGTTTTGCTGGTTTCCCTTTTCACTTCATAAAACCTAGCAGTGCTTTAGAACCTCGGTCTACTTTAGTACTGTTCATTTATTGTTAACTGATGAATTGGAACTTAATAGTTCTCTGTTGCCCTATTTTTTTCATATCCTAATCTAAAATTGTGCTGTGCTTTTATATTTAACTGCATCAAGGCCCTTACTTAATTTTTTATTTTTTTGTTTCTTCGAGACAGGATTTCTGTGTAGCTCTGGAGCCTGTCTTGGAACTAGCTCTTGTTGACCAGGCTGGTCTCTAACTCACAGAGATCAGCCGCCCCTGCCTCCCGAGTGCTGGGATTAAAGGCGTGTACCACCACTGCCTGGTACCCCTTACTTTATTTTGTAAAACATTTTTTTTCCTGAATGAAGTGGATATAAGGTATAGCTGGTGTAGTTTCCTGTAACATGAAAGAATGGAGTCCAAAGCTCAGAACTCATCTAGGTATGTAGCATCCATAGTAAACATTGCTAGTGTTTAATCACTAAGTCATGCTGTTGGTGTGCCAAATGCTTCATACAGGCAACAAAAGAGCTGTAGGTTTCCTTTCAAACCTAACAGCCATGTGTTTATAATTCACACGTTACAGCGTTTTATACATCCTATGTGTATTTCTATTGTTTGTATTTTTTATCCTTAAAATTACCTTGAGAAATAAGCATTGTCTTTTACATAAACTGAGAGTCAGCAAGATTGTTTTGTATAGACAGAATTTCAAACCTCCTGATTCCTTTTTAATATTCTGTCTAGTACTCTACAGAGAAAGCAGTAATCGTATTATTTCATGGTGATAGATGGCAAACTACTAGAATGGTAATAATTTCCTATTTATAGAGCACTAGCAATATTTTTTAAAGTCATATTTAAAAGAAAAGTCAGAAAGAAGATTTTTTGGTACTTGCTGCAGTTTCTTTCATTAGATTTACTTAGTCCATAGACCAAGTTGCCCCTTTGGATGTGCTAGATCAGTTAAAAAAAAAAAAAAAAAGAAAGAAAGAAATGGAAACGGTCTCCACCCTTGAGGAAGTTAGGCTATCAAGATACTGTTGACTTCCCTTACACATGTGGACAATGACAGGCCAAATTGGCTGAGCATATTGGAAAAATCCTTTTGTTTTTCCTGTTAAAAAGAGAATCCTGTGACTGGGCCCATCCTTTGTTCTCCATGAATACAGAGGTAATTACTGAATCTGCAGTAGACTATTTTGAAGTAGCAAATTCACACATAATGAACAAAGACAAAGAGCCTTGAACTCAATGGCCTTCTTGAACCTTTTTTACTAAGCTTAGATGAGTTGCTATGAATATCCTGTGTTGGGTAACAGCAATGCCATATTGCTTATGCTGCAGTTATGCCCGATTTTCAGTTACCTATTGTGTTTATTTCTAACCAAATAACTTTTACTTATTATGAAAAAAATTTGACATGGACTAGAAGATAATGTAATGAATCCACAACACCAGGCAACAATATTAGTCAATCTTTAGTCAATCTTTTGTACTTATATCCTTTCTTAGTGATAGCTAAATTTAATAGCTCCATAATTAAGTTGGTAAAAATACTGTGAAAGCACAGGGAAGAGAATGGATAAATTGGAAAGTGGTGGAAACTTGATCAGGAAAGGCCATGCCAAGGAAATAATATCATCATAGGCTTTAGGACAAGTAGAAAATGAAAAAAGAGCAACAACAAGAACCTTTGAGGCCTAGTGTTGGTGGTGCACGCCTTTAATCCCAGCACTCAGGAGGCAGAGGCAGGTGGATTTCTGTGAGTTCGAGGCCAGCCTGGTCTCCAGAGCGATTTCTACGATAGGCTCCAAAGCTATACAGAGAAACCCTGTCTTGAAAAACCAAAAAAAAAAAAAAAAAAAAAAAAAAAACCCTTTTTAAAAAAAAAAAAAAAAAAAAAAAAAAAAAAGAACCTTTGATATTCCGGGTCAGAATAGCAGCATGTATACAGGGTTTCCGAAAGCATAGAGTATCCCTGAGCTTGCAATATAGTTTGTCTAGACAAGCATCAGCATATGAGTATACAAATGTGGTTTGGAGTCAAATCATGGATGGGCATGCATTCCATAACAAAATATTTGAAGCTGTCATGTGGTTCTAAAGGAGCAAGGACTATGGCTAGGTTGAGGTTTTAGAAAGAAAATACTAACAATATTATAGCCTGTGATTTTAGAGTATTAGAGAATTCATGAAATCAGAATTATAGCAATGGTTCAAATGCTAATGAAGTCCTTGGTGATAATTTTAGCACATCAGATAACTTTGGGAGCTATTTTACAGGAAGAATACATGATTAGGTGCTCAACTAGAATATGGAGAATGGAGTGACACACAGAATAGCTTGAGTGAGTACAATGATCGTGTTACTGAAGTATGAGTGTGGCAGAAAACATATCTGGAATAAGGGTAGGTGATGAATTTGGTTAAGTTGATGTATTTGGGGCATTCAGGTAGAGGTATCCCATATGCCAATTTGAAGATATGGCACATACTCACATATGCCTACATATCCTTGCACAGTCAACTCTCACTCAGATTCTATGTTTTCAAACTCACCTATTTACTGAAATGTACCAATAACCCTCAAATCTGTGCTTACAGTATTTTTGGAGGTATTCATATGCATGTTTAGAAAGACAGAAAATTGTATCACCTTTAATGGCAAACTCTCAGCTGAGGTCAAACAAGATGACATTCTGCCTTCTGTTCGAGTTCTTACACAGTAAGCAGTTATTCTTTTTAAGGTCTACTTAATGCCATTTTTTAAATTAATTAATTAGTTTATTTTTGGTTTTTCAAGACAGGGTTTCTCTGTATTGCTTTAGAGCCTTTCGTGGAACTTGCTCTGTAGATGTATTTATTTTTATTTTATGTACATTAGTGTTTTTCTTGCATGTATGTCAGCGTAAGGGTGTCAGGTCCCCTAGAACTGGGAGTTACAGAGCTTCCATGTGGGTGTTAGAAA